GAAGAGCGTGTGCTTGCTGAACGCCCAAGCCACCTCGCTGCATATACTGCTTCAGCCCCACATCCATGGGGTCCAGCAGACAGAGCAGCACTTAGAGCTACAGGAGGTCATACAGGAAGGCTGAACCCCCTGGGAGAGCAAGAGGTCTGCTTGCAGGGCAAAGCACGGCATGCGGGCAGGGTCCTTACACAGTGACAAAAGCAGTCCAGCTGTGGTCCTCAAGTCTACCTATGCCAGCAAAGAGCAGATGCTACAACAGGGGCTTTTCGAGCACAAACTCTTTAGCTGTAATGCCAGTACAGCGTGCGGGATATCACAGAAGAGCAGAGATGGGAATCAGCGGCAATACCCTGTAACTGCAGTCATCTTTCATGCATATGGAAGGGAGCAGCCTTTAACCAGCAGCTTCTATGCGCTCAGCTGTGCTCTGCGTGCACATTGCATGCATGTTCACTTCTGGAAACCCACAGCGGTGTTTGGTACAGGCAAAAGAGAAGGGCAGATACAGGCACAAAGACTGATTAGAGCTGGGAGAGCATTGGCACCGCTCAATACAACAGGCTGTATCAACCTGAGCAAGGATAAGCCTTTCTGCCAGTGCCTGCCCTTGACACAACCTGCTCTGCTCCCACTGGCTGTTAGGCTCTACATGGCCAATACACAGAGTTAGCACCCATCCAGCAGGTCTTTAGGCAGGCTGAAACACCAGAGGAAGCTGAAGTAGTACTTCTTTCTGGGAAGAAGAGGGCAGGCAGGTTGCAAAATTTAAGAAGCCAAGTGATCAGGAGTGATGATCACTCCTGATGAGCATGATAAACCACAGCCTGTAGCAGTTGACGAGATTAGCACAACAGCTGTTGGTTATACCAACAAAATACCAGCACGGACAAAGTCCAGTAACAAACACCTTCACTTGGAGATGACCTGCCAAGCCCCTGCACACAGGCTTTGGTATGCTGGGCACCTCAGACCTGCATCCAGAGGATAGAGAAGTTCACTCCCAGAGCACCCTCAGCCTGGGTTGAGGAAGAGAGACTACAGGCAGATTAAACTGCACATCAGTAGAGAAGAGCCAGAAAGACAGGTCACCGAAAGAGAAGCATGTGCTCCTGCAGCCTATTTGCATTAAGAGAGCGTTTGGTAGTATTTGCTGTGCTCTGTACATATCTCAGTCTCTACCCTGTTCAGTGTGTTCAAGGACAGCACCAGTCGGAAAATCACACTTGACTATCTGACGATATCAAATAAGCCTTCAAAACTGAAAAAGGGAGTGGTGATATCTATATGGGAGAGGATGGAGACATCCATTTGACATTTAACAATACCCTCCTCCCGAGAGCAAGCAAGTTCCAAACACATTGTCCAAAAAAACAAAGCGCTTTTAAGAAAAAAAACAGGCTAGGGTAGAATCAAAGATGCACAGAGCAGATACATTCTTTGAATTTCAGAATAAAGAATAAAGAGCCACCTACAATAGCCTGGACTCGTTCATCCAAAAATTATCTCATGCTAGTTTTAGAAATGCTAGCTTGCCTGCTGGTTTCAGGGCTCCCCATAAAACTGATTAGGCACCCCTTTAAAAGCAGATTCAGATCTCTCTGGAGTTTCAGAATTAAGTGGGGGAGCCAGCACTTCCAAACCCAGCAGGCTCAACCTTGCACAGAGATTACGCCATGCAGCAGCTTTAAAGGTACTCACAGAGTGTATGAAAACTTCTGTGACAAGCTACACAGACGGCAATCAGCCACATCTTGCCTCGAGTCAAACTATGTGGCAGGTTGTTTGGCGATTTATTATAGAACAGAAGCCACATTCCTTTAATCTCTGTCAAAAACTGAGCCTTAAAAGTCCTAGAAACAGGACTAGCCACTCTTCTGGAGAGGAGCGGACTTCACCTGCGCGCAGATCTAACTCTAACGTGGCATTGCCCTCGCTGGCAGGACGGTGCCAAGAGAAACCAAACAACACACCTCAAACACAGGGTAGCTTTCCTCAGGGCTGGGAACCCAGCTAGCAGGATGCCAGAGGAGGGTGGGCCTGGGGCAAAAGGACGTCTCACACTGGCTCCATTAGCTGCCTGGAGCAGTCCACGTTGCTGGAGTTGTTTTGCAGACAACGAGGAAGCGCAGCATGATAAGCATGATCAACAGTTAAAGGAGAACCACAGTCAGCATAAGCCTGCGTCTGCGATGGGGTGAAGCAAGGGAACAACCCCACCTCCCCAAGCTTCCTCAATACCGCACCCACCTGCCGAGTCTCACGAGGGTGAGGCACGTCCCCTGGACAGGTCCCCAACACAGCTTCCGCCACATCGCCAGCGGAGCTCTGGGCACGCCACGGCAAACAGCAGCCTCCCGCTCCATTAAAACTAGCAAACCCTCTCCCGGCCCACTGGGGTTCCTGCCCAACCGCCTTGACATACTCAAAGTATGTCACAAACCCAAACGGGACAGAAGTTCTGCTTGGGTTCAGGCCCTGATCTTGCTGGGAGAAAGAGCCACGTCTCTCCTTCGTCGCTCCACAGCGCCTAACACAGCTGGACCGAAGCGCTGCTCCGCCACAGCGTGGGAGACGTTTAATTTACAGAGCCCCCGTGCACCAAATTACTCCAGAGCTCACCCAGATCATCAGCTCAGCGCAACCACTGGCACCGAGCTGAGAGTTTTAAAGCAGCTCTCTGGCCCTTCCTTCAGACACAAGCCTCTGCCTCCTCCACGACAACGCGGTCGATTTTCCACAGACGTCTTTGCCCGTCCTGGGGAAGCTGGGAGCCCTGGGGACGTAATCGCTGGTCTTCAGGGGCTCCCTCTTGTAGAAGCGCCCCTCACCCAGCCCTGTCCCTCTCGGCGTCCCTCCTGCCGCGCGCCTCCTCCTAGCCCCAAGCGCTGCCCTGAAGGCCGGATTCACAAGCGCCAGGCGAAGCTCCCCGCTGCGGCCACCTCCACGTGCCGTTCACCCCTTCACCGCCTCCGACGAAGTTCGCTTTCTTCCCGCGGCACGACG